ACGCCCTGGAACGGAATCATCCTCGTCCTAGCGCCGCCCGATTCTTCGCCGATGATCCCGGCCTCAAGGTGTAATACTCAGGCTTCCCAGGTGGCCTGAAGATCACCATCAACGCCAGAATCCAGGATCGCCTTGCCCCAGTGGAGGCGACCCCCCCTGTGTTGGTGTTGGTGCCCAAATCCCCTCACCTCCAACTGTTCTCCCCTGGCCTGAGACGCGGTGTATCCAGACGCCCGAAGCCCTCACATCTGCCGAAGTGGTTTGCTCCATCCGCGGTCCCAAGGGGCCCTGGCCGCTCCCCCAGCCCTGACTCCAGATCCGCCCTACTTTGGCTTGAAAAGCAAGGCGGAAATGCCAAGCCCTGCTTACGAATTTCCCCAAAGTAGGGCGGATCCGGAGTCAGGGCAGCTTTTCGGCCCGGATCCGCTTCTGCCCCCGAGGTTTGGCAGCGGCCCCCGAGGGCCGAGACCTATGGAAAGCCCGTCGGCTGAAAACACGGTTCCGCGGCGAAGCGCGGGGGGGAGTGAGAGAGGGGGCAGGCCTTCTCAGAAGGCTCGGAAGGCCTCCTGGCCTTCTGAAGAGTGTTCTGAGCCTTCCCCAGAGACGCAGACAACTTCTCAGAGGGCGCGGCGGCTTCCGGGAAGCCCCGTCGCCTCCTGAGAAGGCCAGCCCCCTCTGTCACTCCCCCCCTGGGCGTGCCGCCTCTGGGGAGACTGCTTCCTCAGTTTCAGCCTCTCGGGAGCGCTTCCGGGCCCATCAAGCACTGATCCGGCTCGAAGAGCTGCCCGCGGGGGAGGAGGTCGGGAGCTCCTGGGGCCGCTGGTCGGAAAAGAGTCCACGCGTCGGAGGCCCCAGGTGATGGGCGCTCCCTCGTCAGTCGGCGGCGAAGTAACGTACCCTCGCCGATCAACGATACAGATAACTCGCTGGGCGGCGGGGGCAGGGATCGGGATTCGTCGAATAGGTGGCGAAATCCGAACCTTCACCCCACTTGTCCTCGATTCAGGAAGAGCGGTGCTTGGTGGGGGTAGGGTTCGGATGTCGCCACCTCCCCATGCCACCCAGCCCGACGGCAGCTCGTCCCGCCCACCCCCCCACGCGCGCCGACCCCCCTCCCTGAGGTCCGACGTCACGAGAAAGTTCATAACATCGCGAGAAATCGCGACAGTGGCCCTGGACTTCAGTCGGGCGTGTCCCTCCGCAGGAGGAATGTTCAAACACGGTCAAAAAATGGTCGGGGGACGATTTTTTGGCTACTGTTTGTGAACCATTTTTGGGGGGTACCGTTTGACCAATTTTCAATGTGTTGTCCAACGTCCGCCTGTATGGGGGCCGTGCCCGACCCCACCCTGTAGACCCCAGCTGTCGCCGGTGTGCCTCGAGCCGTGCGGGTCGACCTGCGAGGGCCCCGGGGAGAGCCCGGAGCTGGGCGCAGACGCCGGGCGGGAACAGATCGGAGCGCCCCCAGGGGGGGGAGGGCGAGATTCGGTCTCTTTACAACCAGAACAACCACTTTACAACCAGATGGGTTACTTTACAACCAACATAGGATTGGAAAGTATGTTTTCTCATCGAAAACGTCCACTTTGCAACCAGAACGGCCCACTTTACAACCAGAACGGACCACTTTACAACCAGAACGGACCACTTTACAACCAGAACGGGCCACTTTACAACCAGAACGGACCACTTTACAACCAGCTCAGAGTGGCCGTGCGTGTTTGGGCGTTCCGCAAAGTGCTCCAGAGCAAGTGGGCGCTCTGAAAAATGCCCCAGAGCAATTGGGCGCTCTGAAAAATGCTCCAGAGCAAGTGGGCGCTCTCAAAAGTGCTCCAGGGCGCGCGGACGCTCTGAACAATGATCCAGAGCACGTGGGCGCTCTGGAGCCCGAGCGCCTGAACTCTCTGCGCAGGCCCCAGCGATGCCTCTGAACCCGAGCGCCTGAACGCCCCGCGCAGGCCCCAGCGATGCCTCTGAGCCCGAGGACCTGGGTGCTCTGCGCAGGCCCCAGCGATGCCTCTGAGCCCGAGGACCTGGACGCTCTGCGCAGGCCCCAGCGATGCCTCTGAGCCCGAGCGCCTGGACGCTCTGAGCAGGCCCCAGCGATGCCTCTGAGCCCGAGCGCCTGGACGCTCTGGCGCTCTGAGCCCAGCAGACTAAGACAGGGCTTGCTAGCAGGGGCCAAGCGGCCTCAACAAGGGCCCCGTGCTCGCACGGGAATAAGGCGACAGCATACGTAGGAAGGCTCAGGGCGACGCGCTGCCAATTTTAGGGATCACTCACAGGAAGCGAGCCCAGTGGCCTCCACATGGGCCCAGCGCTCCAGGGAACTAGGCCATTGGCACCGCGGGTCTCTTGGGCCACGTTGGCCCCTGAAGCCCCACGGTGTTCTGCAAGGGGCTAAGTGTGCCCGCTCCAGTTGGCCCCCTGCTGCTCTTCGTCTTGGAAGATCGAGGTTCAACGTCCCGAATAAATGCAACTATTTCGAAGATCGTTTCTTCCAGCGTCAGCCACGGTGCCAGCGCAGCAACGCAGGCATCGTGCTCGGGCAGCAGCCTCAGCCACCGTGCCAGCGCAGCAGCTTGAGCCACCGTGACAGCGCATCACCGCCACCTGTGCGCCTGCTACCACCACACTTACCGCTGCAGCCCCGCTACCTCCACAATTCCGACTGACCGCCCGCTACTACCGCAAATCCCATTGCAGCCCAGCTACCACCACAGTTCCCACCGTTGCCTGGCGACCACCACAGTTGCCAGCGCAGCTTCCCAACACCGTGCAGTTCCCATTGTAGCCCCCGCTTCCACCACATCTCCCACTACAGCTTTCCATTGCCATGCAGCTCCAGTCTTGGACGGGATCATGGTTTATTCGTATGTCCTGCGCGACTAGCCTTCGCCCGTCAGAAAAAAAAAGCAGAGCAAGCAATGGCATAACTGACCGACAGAGCTTAGAGAGCAGGTCAAAACTCGAATCCGCCCACCAGCACGCAACATGCCATAGCGCACCAGGTCGCCGCATCGCCAACTCGTGCGCAGTGCTTCTTCGCGCGCGATGGGCAACTTTACAACCAACATGCCTCAAAGAGCCCAAAGCCACCCTTGCGCTTGCCCACGGAGATTTCAGGGAAAGGCACGCGTGCATTCAATATGTGTTTTTACTTGCCTGGTTGTAAAGTGCCCTTCCTGGTTGTAAAGTGCCCTTCTTGGATTTTATAAGCTGGTTGTAAAGTGACCCATCTGGTTGTAAAGTGCGCTTCTGGTTGTAAAGTGACCCGCACGCGGGGGGGGGGCGGCCGAGAGGCGTCGGAAGTAAGCTCAAGAATGTCTTACATTGTGTGGTCCACGTGGGGGCCATTTCGTGGCGCTGTGCGGCTGCGGCGCGGGCACCGACGCATTGCGATGTAGCATGCGTCTTGCGAGTGGCGAGCCATCGACGCGGGGGAGCGCCGTGGTCAGAATCAGGGCCAAATCCGGTCAAAATCCATGGCACGTTCGGGCGTTGCTGGCGTCGAAGAGGCTCCCATGAAGGACCATCTAACTTACATGTCTGGACATTTTGTGGGGAGATGCTGAACAGAGTGGCGATGGCTGCGAGGTGGTACTCGTATGCGCCGCCCCTCCACTGTCGGTCCTCATCGAACTGCCGAGTCGTTCCCGGTCAGAGCACCTTTGTCCTGGCCCCGACATTGGAGGGGCGTCTCTCGACATTGAAGGGCGCGCCGACATCGCAGGGGCTTGTTCGCCATTTTTGATGTTAATTTTGACGAAGGAGGGGGGCGAGGGGTACAGTGGGGGCCCATGCCAAGAAACACCTTGCTTGCCCCCAGGGTGCCCTTGGTTTCTTGGGTTTCGATTGTTCTGCGACGGAGGGCGCGACGCTCCCGCGCCAGAACAGAAAACCGCTGGACGTCCTGGAGTCTGAGGGTTGGGTTTCTTGTGCAAGGTTTCTTTTGGTCGGGCCCCTACTGCAAGAGGGGGTCGAGGGGTATCGCGACCGGGGCCATGATATCTCCCCTGGTCTCATGGCGCCTCTTCCTCTTTCAGTGGCCCCCCCCTCCCCCAGGGCCGCGCACGTGCCTCTCGGGCCATGACCTGCGACCCCCCCCCCTCTTGGACGCCCCCTCTCGGACGCCCCCGGAGCTTTCGAATTCCGGAGCCCCCCCCACTGTAATGCGCAGTGGTTGCGTTCCGGCGCGGGTGCATTCAGCGCGGAATTGTCTTCGCATGATTTTTCCATGGCTTGTGTAAGTTGTTATGTTCTGCCAATGCGCCGTGTAGGCGCGGACTTTTCCTGTCCTGTCCCCAATGCGCTCGTCCCGCCCATCCGTGCACCCCATGATTGCCCGGCCCTGCCTACCCCCTCTTCGGGCGTTTCGCACTGGTGGGCGACCACTGGGGGGACTCGCGGGTTTCAGGAAAGGCCCCGGAGGCCCCCTCCCCCCGTGAATCCAGAAGGTGCCCGAAAGGTGCACCTTCCTCCCCCCCCCCATTACTTCTAGGCCTCCCACATGGGGTTCGAGCAGATGGAGTCGGAGGATCGCGCCGTATCGCCGATGCATCGCGGATGCGGCGCGATGTGGGGCCCGATGTTCTCCACGCCGACGGCGCCGATGCATCGCCGAAGTCGCTGATGCACCGCCGATGCCCATCTACTCTGACCCCATCTGGGAGGCCCTGGAGGTGCAGGAAAGGTGCGCTTTTCTCCCCCCCCCGCCTACTCCCCAAGAATGAAGCCACGCGCCTGGCCTCCACGCGACCCCCCCCACAAATCTCAGGAGGGAGAAACACACAGACACAATCAATCGTCGATTCCCCCGAAAACAAGGGAAGATATGGGAAGTGGGTGGGGAAGGCAAAAAACAGAAAATGTTGGGAATCCTGCTGTCTGTGTGTGTGTGTTTCTTCGTGTGTCCCCAAGGCCCCTTCAGGACCTTTCTTGGACCGCCCAGGGTGCCCTGGCTGCTGCGGGGGGCGTGGGCGGCCCCTGCGCGGCGCGAGGATCTTCCCCATGCACTCGCTGATCCCGCGGGAGGAGCAGGAGGAGGTGTTCAACGCCCCCCCGAAGGCCCCCGAGCTCGCCGGCCGGCCCCCTCTCCCTCGACCCTCCCTTCCTCCTCCTCCTCCTCCTCCTCCTCCTCCTCCTCCTCCTCCTCCTCCTCCTCCTCCTCCTAGTCCTCCTCCTCCTCCTCCTCCTCCTCCTCCTCCTCCTCCTCCTCGAGATCTGGGCAGTGGCAGGTGGGCCGCGGTCCTCGAGCCCTGCTTTGTGGCCCGCGCCGTCCACGGCCCGTTTCGGCCGCCCTGGGCGCGGCGGGGCCGCTCGGGCAGCGTCGCGCGTCGAGGGCGTCCCGAGGTGCTCCCTGGCGGTGGGGGCGCTCGTGCAGGAATTGCCCGGGAGGCCTCAGACCCTGGAGGAGTCTTTATCTGATGAGGGCGGTGGGTGACACCAACGGCCAGTCCACGCTCGGAGTTCCACCAGCTCCCAGGCCCTGGGTTCCTTATCCAAAGGTTCTTTGTCCAGCGCCCGCACCGTAGAGGGGCGTGGATATCATGGCCAGGCCATAGAATCTCCTGGATGTCATCACCCTGTGTTGGGTTCTTCCCTATGTTGGGTTCTCGTTCTGAGTAGACAACTGTGGTCTTCAGTCCTCCGTCCTCCTTCGCCTCCTCCTTCTGCTTCATTCCCAACCATCATGTGTGCTGGATTCCTCCTCCTGTCTCCTGACTCCTCCCTTCTCCTCCTGCCTCCTTGCCTCCGTTGCGCGTGCCTTTGCTATGGGGTGGCTGCGAACGGCGCACCTCTCGCCACTGCCGTGGGCTCCTGTGAGGTCCAGCGGAATCGGGGGCTCCGCGCATCCATTTGAGACATCGCTTCTCCCTGGCTGGCTGCGATCTGCGCAACTATCGCCACTTTCTTGGGCTCCTGGGAGGCCCAGCGGGGTGAGGGGCATGCGCGTCCACTTGAGACCTCGGTGCTCCCCAGGTGGCTGCGAACTGCGCAACTGTCGCCACTTTCTTGGGCTCCTGGTCCAGCGAGGCCAGGGGCAGCGCGTATCACTTTTGAGACCTCGCTGCTTCCTGGGTGGCTGCAAAAACTGCGCAACCGTCGCCACTTTCTTGGGCTCCTGGGAGGTCCAGCGGGCTGGGGGGCATGCGCGCACCCACTTGAGAATTCGCTGCTCCCTGGGTCGCTGCGAACTGCGCTACTGTCGCCACTTTCGCGGGCTCCTGGAAGGTCCCGCGGAGTCAGGGGCTACGCGCATCCACATGAGACCTCGCTCCTCCTTGGCTGGCTGCGCTCTGCGCAACTGTCGCCACTTGCTTGGGCTCCTAAGAGGTCCAGCGGAGTGGAGTTGTACGCGCATCTAGCCGAGACCTCGCTTCTCCCTGGCTGGCTGCGAACTGCGCAGTGGGCTCCTGGAAGGTCCCGCGGAGTGCAGTTGTATGCGCAACTAGCCGAGACCTCGCTGCTCCCTGGCTGGCTGCGAACTGCGCAGTGGGCTCCTGGAAGGTCCCGCGGAGTGCAGTTGTATGCGCAACTAGCCGAGACCTCGCTTCTCCCTGGCTGGCTGCGAACTGCGAACTTCGCAACTGTTGTCACTTTCATGGGTTCCTGGGAGGTCCAGCGTAGTGCAGTTGTATGCGCAACTAGCCGAGACCTCGCGGCCCCCGGGAGGCTGCTAACTGCGCAACTGTCGCCACCTTCGCTGGCTCATGGAGCGGCGAGGTACGGACGGCGGTTCACAGCGACGGCCCATCGGACCCGCAGAGACAATCTCATCACCCGGATGAGGAAGACGAGAAACGATGACGGGGGAGGGCGATGTGGACAAGCATGTGAGAAAGGACCCTAGCAACCCACAGCGGTGGTCCATCGGACCTGAGGAAACAACGTACACACACACGCACACACACACACGCACACACATACACACACGCGCACACACGCACATGCGCACGACACACACCCACGCACGCACGCACGCACGCACGCACGCACATGGGGCGGCGGCGTCGATCTCGGGGGTACCTGTAGTCTGGGTGGGAGTCAGCGGTCTAGGGGGGGTACCGGTTGTCCAGGGGGTGGACCAGTAGTCCAGCGGGGGGGGACCAACAGTTGGGGGGGACCAGTAGTCTGTGGGAGATCAATTGTCCGGGGGGGCAGTAGTCTGGGGATCCAAAACTATTCAGGGTTCAATGGATGTGCTACTAGTAGCTCTGGATAAGGTTCTTAATCTCAAGGCAGGATTGTATACGCATGCATAAATAGATGCATGTACTAATGTACGCATGTGTGCATGCTCTAAAAAGCACGTACGTTTTGCCTCATCCTTCCCTCCCCCTTCCCCCTCCCGCCTCTTCCGCCCGAGGGAGTGTGCCACATAGTCCTGGCCTCGAACATAGCCGAGAGCTCCCTGACCTTGCCTTCCGTCTGTGCGGTCATAGACATGTGCCTCCGGCGCTCCATCGAGTACGACGCGAGGCCTTGGACCATGGAAGAGGGAGTGGGGGAGGGAGAGAGGGAGGGGTGGAGGGAGGAAGGGAGCAGGAGGTGGAGGAGGAGGGCAGGGAGGAGAAGGATGAGTGTTGAGGACCTGGGAGGAGGAGGAGGAGGAGGAGGAGGAGGAGGAGGAGGAGGAGGAGGAGGGGGAGGTCCAGTGCAAATCCAAGATGCATCTCCGATGTTGCAAGGATCCCTCCCTCCAAGTTCCCTCTTCATAGGGCCCCACAAGAAATTATTTTCATTTGCGGGGAGTGCGGCTTCGGAAGACAACTGTCCGAGAATCTTCCACTTTGCCAAAACACAATTCCTGGGACTTCAGCGCCACGGATCAACGTGGTTGTTGCGTCCCCACAATCCTCAATCGTGCCAGGGCACCATGCCTGATACGACACCGCGAATCAGCATGACTGTGGCGTCCTCACATCCTGAACCGTGCCCGAACACCATTCCTGGGACTTCAGCCAGACGAATGCCCGGAACTGATCCAAACTTGCAGGACGAACGCGCGCCGCGCCATCCTTGAAGGTGCTGCAAGCTCTCAAGAGGAATGTGCACGGCGCCGAGGCAAGGGCCACACACTGTGAACGACCCGCCCTCCGTCCTTGAAGCTGCTGCAAGCTTGGGAAGCGAGTGTGCGGGGCACTCGGGCGAGAGCCACACTTCGAAGCCACCTGCCCTCCACCCGCGAAGCCGTTGCGCATGTTACGTTTCAGGGCCGACAGGTGGTGGGGGAGCCTCGGGCAGAACGCCCGGCCCGCCCTGCCAACACGCCTCGGGGCGCGGCAGGGAGGAGCTGTGCAGAAGGGACGGAGTTCCCAGGATGAAGCACAGCGCGGCGTCGTGGATGCCCCCCCAGCGCGGCAGGCAGGTGCGCGGCGGGCGCCGGGCCCGACCCAATGGACGGAGAGAGAGCCCCTGAGCAGCGAGGGACCCCTCTCCCGAGGGTCCCCCCGAGGGGGCCCGAGATGCCCACCACGAGCCCCACGGACGAGGGAGGGCAGCCACGCCGCTCAGGGACCGCCCTCGCTCCTCGTCCCGAGGAAATCCCCGCGGCTCCGCGCGCGTGGGCCTCCGCCGCCGCCGCCTCGGCCGCCCGCCCCGGCACAACCGCCTCGTCCGGCGTGCGTCGTCCGGCTCGTGCAGCCTCAGGCCGAGCCAGTACATCAGAGCCCCGAATCATCAGGGGTAACTCGGGTCAGGGCTAACCCGGGTTCGCGTTTCGGGATTCCAGACCCGCGTTACCCCGGGCCCGAATTACCCCGGATAACTCGGGCGTCCAGAGCCCCGAATCATCAGGGGTAACTCGGGTCAGGGCTAACCCGGGTTCGCGTTTCGGGAATCCAGACCCGCGTTACCCCGGGCCCGAGTTACCCCGGATAACTCGGGCGTCCAGAGCCCCGAATCATCAGGGGTAACTCGGGTCAGGGCTAACTCGGGTTCGCTTTTCGGGATTCCGAACCCGAGTTACCCCGGGCCCGAGTTACCCCGGATAACTCGGCGCCCCTCCTCCTCCTCCTCCCCCTCCTCCTTCTATCCTTCTCCTCGTCTATCCTCCTCCTCCTCCTCCTCCTCCTCCTCCTCCTCCTCCTCCTCCTCCTCCTCCTCCTCCTCCTACCCTCCTAGCTCAGGATGGGCGGCCCAGGCGGCCCGTCCTGCACCGACGGCGCGGCGAGCGCCCTGCGCCAGCTGGTGGCCTCCCAAGGGCCTGCGCCGTCGAAGGCCCCTGGGGCCCGGCCGCCGCGGCGGTGCTGGAGGGCGAGACGTCTCGCCGACCAGCGCCCCGTGGTCGCGAAGGCCCCGCGGGCGGCGCACGCTGCGGGTCGGCCCGAGTGATAAGTTCGAGGTCGGCTCGGGGAGGGTGCCCTGACTTTCTTCGTGCTTGCTGGGCGTTCTTCGTGCATCCCGGGGGAGGGTGCCCTCGAGAGATCTGATGGCTTGGGGTGTTCTGGCCGGCGAAGGGCTTCATGCTCTTGAAGGATACCCTTTTGTCCTACAGCCCCTCGACAACATTAACCTTAAACATGCGTCACGTATCTTACGGTAGGTTCGCGTCGCGTTGACGCGGCAGCGACCCCAGCGCGGGCGTTCAAGGTTGGACGACGCCAGTGGTCCGGAGTCGGACGACGTGACATGCACCATCTGGATGTTCGAAAAGTTGTTACCGTTCAAAGCTACAGGATCCAAGCGGTGCCAGAGGCCAGCGCGCAAGTCGTCAGATGAAGAATATACGGTATGTGCGCATGTGATTGCCTAGGTGGGATTGAACGTCAATGAGTGCGAAGTATTTGTTGGCGCCCCCCCTCCAATGTCGGTCAGCATGAAACTGCCGGGTCGCACCCCCCCAGAACATGCGTCGGCTTCCTTCGACGTTGGAGGGGCCGACATTGAAGGGGGCTCAAGGCGTTTTTGAGCTTCATTTTTTCGAGGGTTGTAGGTCCGACCGTACTCCAGTCTCATGCCCAGCGCCTTGTCGCCGGATTCTAGATGCCCGCGGTGCAAGATGGGTGGTCACTGCTGTGGATCGTGAGCGGGCACGGATCCTCTTCCTCCTCCTCCTCCTCCTCCTCCTCCTCCTGCTCCTCCTCCTCGACGGTGGCGGGGTAACCAAGGCCACGCTTTGTTGGCGCATGCCGGGCCAGGCCGAACAGGGATGGTCCTCTTGCTCTTGCATCTGTGCCCCTGCCCTATTCCGCCGAATGCCCGTGGCGGCAGCCACCGCCTCTGTGTGCCACCTTTTCTCTTCTCGGACCTGCCTCCTTCGAGTCCGGCCAGTCCTCGGTCCATATCCCTGAGTCGGGCGTGCCCCTCTACAGGAGGAATATTCAAAAATAGAAAAAATAGTATGGGGACGATTTCTGTAAAGTTGTTCTTTATTATTTTGGGGGTATATGTGTGGGGTATTCTTGTGGTTCGCCCAAAATCCGCCTGTAGGGGGACATGCCCCACCTAACCATATCCCCCCTGCGACGGCCCACGGCCCCCCGGCAGGCGCCTCATGTCTTGCCTGGTGACGACCTGGTGTTCCCAGTCCTCCTGCAAGCAGAGATCCGGTCGTGCGGGGCGGACCATGCCAGGCACCGCCGTGCGGATGGTGACGCGGAACTTTTTCGAGACCATGGCCTTCCGGCCCTTCTCTTGGAGGAGGAGGAGGAGGAGGAGGAGGACGAGGAGGAGGTTCGATCCTTTTTTTCCCGGCGGAGCCGGGTGAAATTCCGTGCCCGCCGGTGATAGACTGATTGACTGAGTGATTGACTGACTGATTGACTGACTGATTGGCTGGCTGAACGTCAGGAGGGCACCTTGAACAACACATTTCAAACCGCCCGCGGGCGCGCAACCGCAACTGGGCGACACATTTCGACCCGTCCGCGGGCGCGCACTCGCAACCGCAACTGGGCGACACATTTCAACCCGCCCGCGGGCGCGCAACCGCAACTGGGCGGCACCTTTCAACCCGCCCGCGGGCGCGCAACCGCAACCGCAACTGGGCGACACATTTCGACCCGCCCGCGGGCGCGCAACCGCAACCGCACCTGGGCGACACATTTCAAACCGCCCGCGGGCGCGCAACCGCAACCGCACCTGAGCAACACATTTCAACCCGCCCGCGGGCGCGCAAGCCCAACTGGGCGACACGTATCAATCCGCCCGCGGGTGCGCAACCGCAACCGCAACTGGGCGCCACATTTCAATCCGCCCGCGGGCGCGCAACCGCAACCGCAACTGGGCGACACAATTCAACCCGCCCGCGGGCGCGCAACCGCAACCGCACCTGGGCGACACATTTCGACCCGCCCGCTGGCGCGCAACCGCAACCGACACATTTCAACCCGCCGCGGGCGCGCCGCAAACCGCAACTACGCGACACATTTCGACCCGCCCGCGGGCGCGCAACCGCAACTGGGCGACACATTTCAACCCGCCCGCGGGCGCGCAACCGCAACCGCATTGGGCGACACATTTCAACCCGCCCGCGGGCGCGCAACCGCAACCGCACATGAACGACACATTTCGAGCGCTCGCGGGCGCGCAACTGCAACCGCGACTGGGCGACACATTTCAACCTGCCCGCAGGCGCGCAACCGCAACCGCACCTGGGGGACACATTTCAACCCGCCCGCGGGCGCGCAAAAGGCAACTACGCGACGCATTTCGACCCGCCCGCGGGCGCGCAACCGCAACCGCAACTGGGCGACACATTTCAACCCGCCCGCGGGCGCGCAACCGCAAGCGGGCGACGCATTTCACCCCGCCCGCGGGCGCGCAACCGCAACTGGGCGACACATTTCAACCCGCCCGCGGGCGCGCAACTGCAACCGCACCGCTCACCTGCCGCCCTCTCCCAGGGGATCTGAGGCGGGGGAAGGGTGGGAGGGAGGTGGGAGGGAGGGGGAGGGAGAAGTGAGGCGGGATGGAGGAGGAAGTAGGGGGGGGGAGAGGAGATGGACGGAGGGTTGAGAGCTCACAGTGATTGGAGGCGGACAACTTCTGCCCCCCCCGTTCCACGCAAGTGGATCTCCACAAGGCTCCAGACCTTGGATTCCTGATCCAAGGCCTCCACGGTCTGCTAATCCAGAAGCCGCATTAAAGTGATCATTGAGGCCCTCTGTGACAGAGGGGGTGATTTTCGGAGGCCCTCTGCGACAGAGGGGGCGCGTTCGGAGGCCCTCTGTGACAGAGGGGGTGCGTTCGGAGGCTCTCTGCGACAGAGTTGCTCGTCATCCCGTTCCTCGTCATCCTGCTTCTTGATTTCGGATATGTCATGCTACCACTGCGCTCATCATCTTTGCGTCTGTGATCCTCGTCGTGTTTTTCCATGCGTCCTTTTCACAATTTCCACCACATTATCCTCCGTTGCCGTTCTGGCCCGCCATCTACCTCGTCACTCTCCTTCGTCTGCATGTCCTTATTCTTTTCCGCTCTTTTTTCGCCTCCCCTCTGGTTCGATTTCCGCTCTTCGTCCACTTCGTTCATTCGTTTCCAACCCCCCTTCCTTTCAAGTTCTCCGCCGTCCAATCACGTCGCGTCGTCCGCCGCCGCTATGCTCAAACCATCCCGCGCCCGTGGGATCGCCCGCGAGCACCGGTGCAGCTGGGCCCGTCGCGGCCTAACGCGCGCCTGCGCCATCGTCTTGCAATGGGCGATGCAGGCGGATACACATGGGATGGCGCGGGAGGATGGTGGGATAGCCGCAGCAGCGGCTGGCGTGGCTGGGAGGACGGCCATGATTGGTCAGCGAGGGGTTGGAGAGACTGGCGACAAGACGGGCACACGCCAACGGAGGACGCCAAATGGCGCGATGGCCCTGCCGCCGCAGCAGCGGCGGCGGTCTCGCCTCAACGGCCGTCTCGCTTCGCCGCGCTTAGCGTTGTGAGCCCCCGCGCCCCTGGTCTCGGCATGCCCGAATTCGATAATTTCGTGAGGGCTGCCCTCCGAAACTCACCAGAACCTGGGAACACAGTTTCAGGAGAGGGGTCGGGATCCCGAGCCGCGCCTGCGGCGCAGGAGCCCCGCGCCACCGCAGCGGCGGCGGCGCGCGGGCCCCAGGATTTTGAGAAGTTTGATGTTAATTATTTTTTGAGTTATGAAGAGAGGCTCGGCACTTCGTTTCAGCAACACAATCAAGCGTTGAAATGGTGGCGCCATCTGAATGAAGACCCAACTGCCCCGTTCGAGTCAGAAGCCAAGTGGTTTGACAATGCGGAGCCCACCATGGTCGCTGTTTGCGACCACGGTGCGAGGACGAGCTTTGGTTTCAAAAGCGACGAGGAAGTCCCTTGGCGGTGGCAAGAGATGGCGGCGACGCTCAGGGAGGAAGATATCAGGGAGGTCGTGGAGGGGCCCCGCAGCAGCGGGGCTCTGATCGGCTGTTCCCTCGAAGTCCGGCCAAACAGCTACGACCACATGCGTCAGAGTATTGTGCGCGCGCGACAGTTCGCGGGGCAGCGGGTGAAAGTGAAGCTGCCGATGTGGGATTTCGTGTTGCACCGCGACGACGGGACAGGCGTCCGTTTACACCCGCACTGGGGCGACAGGAAGGTCGAAGCTCTGCCCCTCGTCCCCCGCGCGGACACGGTGAGGCCACCAACCGCGGGTTTGGGCGGGAGCGACGGGTCAGGAACTTTTCGCTGGCACAAGGACCTCGGTGTGGAGCGTAAGGTCAAGTTCGACGCCGCCAGAGAGAAGGGGAGGCCGACGCCCTCTCAGGGGCCCCGCAGCAGCGGGGCCGCGGCGTCCAGCACCAGGCCCTCGGCGTCCGCAGCAGCGGGTGGCAAACAGTAGTTTTGGGACCGAATAACTCCCCAGACGATTTGGTTGCGGAGTAGATGGCTCCGCAGCAGCAGCGGGGCTCGAATGAAGGGCGCGTTGCATTTCTGCAGGGGCGCGCGCGTCGGCCGCCGAGATCGGGAGCGCTCGTGCAGGCGCCGTGGCGCGATCTTCGTTAAGAAGTCTCCCCTCTCCTCCCTGTCCCCCCATCCCGCGCACCCCAGCGAAGTTCGCAGTTCGAAGTTTGAAGTTCGGAGTTCGAAGGTCGCAGTTTGAATTTCGAAGCTTCGCACTTCGAGGTTCGATCTTCGAACCTTCGTCATCTCGTCGTCGTAATCGTCGTCCTCGTTCGTCGTCGTCGTTCCTCGTCGGCGTCGATTGTCGTTGTCGTCGTCGCTCGTTGTCGTCGTCGCCGTCGTCGTCGTGGTCGGCGTCGTCGTCGTCGGTCGTTGTCGTCGCTAGTCGTCGTCGCTGGTCGCCGTCGTGGTCATCGTCCTCGTCGTCGTCGTCGTGGTCGTCGTCGCCCTCGTTGTCGCCGTCGTGGTCATCGTCGTCGTCGTTGTCGTGAAACGCCCCACGTAGGAGGAGCAGAGAAGGGAGTAAGGAGAAATGAGCACGGTGGAGGGAGGAGGGAGGATTGAACAGGAAGAGGAGGGTACAGATGGAGGTAGAAGGGATGAGGTAGTTCAGAAGTGGGAGCAGCAGACTGGCGCAATGGGAAAAGCCATGTGAGTGCAGGGAGGGATGGAAATGCGATAAAGTGAAGCCGCAGCCGTTGCAGGTCTGCCTCCCGCCGCGCCCGCCCGCCTCCGCGACTGGAGCCGCGCAGGAGCCTCTGCCGAAGTCTCCGCAGCAGCGGGGACTGCCAGAGGAGGCTCCTTCGCGGTTTTTGCGCCGCTATGGCGAGCATCGCGGGCAAGTACGACGTCGATGACTTCGAGCTCATCACGACGGAGGGCAGTGTTTGGCACTGGGCGACCATGGTGGCGCGGTTTCTCCAGTGGCGCAATCGTTGCCGCCACGCACGCGCCGTTGGAGTGAAGGGCCAGATGCTCGTCGACCAGGCGCGGCAGATGATGGGGGAGGCGCGCCGTACCGAGGAGATGGGCAAGATGATGCTTGAGATGTCGAAGAAGAAGGTGAAGGACATCCCAGGCAATATTCGGTACTTTTGCCGCCAGCCGCACCAGGAGAGCTGAGCGGCGATCGGAGCTGGGCCGATAGAGGAGGATGAGGAGGAAGAGGAGGGGGGATGAGGAGAGGAGGAGGAGGGGGATGAGGAGTTGGAGGCAGCACGCGCACCCGCACTAAGAGCCGCCAGCCGCGCCCGTCTCCGAGCATGAAACCCGAGCTTGGCTGGAAGGGGGGAGGGCGGTAGCAGAAACAGCGCAGGACAGGGATGGGAGAGGTCACGCATCCGCCGCATTAGCGGCGGTGGTACGACAGTTCTCATGGCGGCGCGGCGGTCGCTGAGAAATGGAGCACGTGCGTGGGCCTGCGTGCGCTTAATTATGAGTGGCTCTCGTCCCCTCCCCTCCTCTTCCTCCATGAGATCTCTCTCCTGGTGCATATCCCCTGCCAGTGCTCGTCCTGCTCCTCTATCCGCCCCCCCTCGTCCGTTCCTGCCACCAGCCACATGGGGCGTTCTCAATCAACACCCCATTGAGTGTCCCCATGTGAAGGTTGCCCTTGTCATGAGGGCGGACTCGCAAGAGCCGAGTGGCTGAAGAACTAGTAGTTTGGGGTCCGAACAGCTCCCCAGACGATTTGGTTGTGGAGTAGGTGGCTCCGCAGCAGCGGGGCTCGAATTAAGGGCGCGTTGCATGTCTGCAGGGGCGCGCGCGTCGGCCG